GTTTGAGCCAGATATGATTGAAAAGAGGGAAAAGGAGATATGGGGAGATGAGTGAGGAAGCTACTGCAGGAGTGCAGGCTTAGCTAGGAGTGGAGCTGCATAAGAGATGAGAAGTTGTCGTGTTTGAGACCTATGTTGGTGGCTGAATCAACGAGACCTAAGGAAGGACTGGCTGAGAGGGAGGGAAATGTCAAGAATCCCTGTCCTAAGCAGGGGAGGAGATGGTAGTGCCATTACTAGGTGGGGAAGGCTGGGGAAGAAGCACGTTTGGGGAGGAAGATGATTTCAGTTTCCAACATGCTAAATTCATGGCTGTGAGACGGTAGGCAGCTGAATGCCAGGGAAGCTGGACTCAGAAGAGAGTCTGAGCTGGAGATAACCACTGTGTACAAAGTCATGGGGATAAACGGGATGACCTATAGAGAGTACTATATAAGGGACCCTGAGAACCCCAAGATGTACATGTGTCCAGAGGGAAAGAGCAGGCAAAGGGGCTGAGAAGGCAAGTCCAGTGGAGTAGAAGGGCCAGAAGAGTAGAGTCTCAAGGCAGCCAAGAACTGAAGAGAGTTTTGAATAAAGTTAACTAGATCAAATGCTGCTAAGAGGTCGATTAGGTTAAGAACTAAGATGGATTTCTCTTCTATAGCTAACTTTTCTCCAACTATTCTAAACCATCAGCAACTTGAGATTAAGCAGTATGATAAATATATATATTTGTATCCCTGTCCCCTTCCCGTGGGCACAGAGCAAGTGACTGATACCACCCTAGTAAATGAATACACCTCTCTGACTCTCAAGGAAACTACGACACTGTAGAGAGAAGAAATCAATGTGAAATCCAATCATTTAATCTCCTAACAGAGTTATCTGGAGGCAATCCATGGGCTAAGGATGTTTGTCAGTATTCCCACGTCAAAGCGAGTGAGTGATAGGGACACACTTAGGGAAGAGAGCATAATACCTTAACCCAACCCTAAACCTTTCTAAAAACCCTTGCCACAAACAGTGCCCTCAGGCTAAGGATGTTTGTCAGTATTCCCACGTCAAAGCGAGTGAGTGATAGGGACACACTTAGGAAGAGAGCATAATACCTTAACCCAACCCTAAACCTTCCTAAAAACCCTTGCCACAAACAGTGCCCTCATTCATGTCTTTGTCCGCAAATGACACGTTGAGCTCCTCTACCCCCTCTTCTGAGAACCCATTCTACTGGTTTACTCCTCCATGTAGTTTAGACATCTCTCCTGCATCGCTCTTGATGTGGTTCCAGTCTATTCTTTCCAGTCCTCATCTTAAAAACTGAATTTTGCCAGGATGCTCAAAGACAGCAAGTGGGTTACAGAGTGAGAGATGCAGAGAAGTAAAGGGGAAAAGGACTGCCGTGGATTAGCATCTAGATACAGACACTAGATCCCAAGCTCTCCATCTCCTCACCCTCACCCTGAACACCCATGTCAGCCGGAGCCAACAGCCAAAAGAGCCTGGGATTTGCACTCAAAGATCTGGGTTCAAAACTTAACTTTCCCACTGACATTAGCTGTGTGACCATGGGCAAGTTACTTAACTTCTCTGTGTGTGTAGCCTGGTGGTCTCATTGGTAAAAAAGGGACAATAATGATACCTACTTTATGGGGTTGCTGTAAGGATGGGGGGGTAAAAGAAGTGCTTTTATAAACTGCTCAGCTAGTAATTAGTTACACAATTAATAAGCTCCAGTACCAGGATCACTCATACTCCAATCTCCAGACACTTCCTCTGAGAATAGGAAAAGTGGTGGTATAAATAAATCCTGCTGTTTGATGACTAAATAAAGAAGTCACAGACACACAGCCCCCAACCTGAACCACCACTTCAAACACACCCAGGAGGGAAGCTCATGCCATTGTGTTTCCCCCACAGATAAATTTCAAACCAGACAAGGGTGCCAGTCCCCTCCCAACCCTTTGTTCTGAGCTGTTCAGCCTAGATTCCTCTACCTTCCTCCCAGCTGCTTATTAAAGACCCAACATAAACCCTGCTCCCCTGGCTTGCCAACCCAAATCAGGGTGCACACAAAGCACCAAAACATGCTTCTGCCTCCCCTACCAAACACAGGGGCCAAAAATGAACCCAACTTCTGAGACTCTTGCTTGCTGTCCCTTCAAGTACCCCAGGGAACTGATCTAGGCATTGGAGAGGCTGGGGAGAGGGATGGGAGGTGAGCAAAGAGAAGGGCAGAAGTTCCCCTTATTTAATTAGCCTCAGGAATCAGGGGTTTGGAGGTCTCCATGGTGTGCAGTGTTCCCAGGGAAGAGAGTGGGGGGAGGGGATAACTGGATGAGATCAACAAGTGGAAATGTCAGAGGGGTGAGGAGATGGGGAGGGGAGTCCAGACTTGGTGCAGGGCAGGGAGCTGCTGTGGAGGGGGCAGGGCGGGGGGGAGGCTCTGAAAAGGGAATGTGTCCCACCGCTTTTCAACTTGCCCCCCACTCCCCAAGACACAAACGCATGCACTCAGTCCCCTGCTCAAACCAACCATGGATTATCTGGGGTTAAAAGGAGGCCAGAGAGGAAAGAGGGAGGGAAGAGAGAGCCTGTCACAAAAAGGAGACCCTTCTCCCCTCCAAAGGCCTTTAAGAAATAAAATTAATGGAATGTGTCTCAGTATCGTCCCAAGGGGATTGGGGGAAGGAATGGGGGGGAATGTGGGGGCTTTTGTCCCAGCTGCCCAGCTTCTCCCACATTGATCACCATGGCAACTAAAGCCCCCTGTTGCCTAGGTGATGGCAGCCCAGTCCTGGAACCCATACCCAGCATCCAAAGCAAGGGAGGTTATGGAGGTAGAGGGGGATAGGGACAGAGCAGGAGAGAATGGGGTTTCTCCTCTGGCGGCCCCAGCTTTTGTCTGAGCTCTGGGATCGGGTTTCTTTAGGAAACAATTGGAGGCCTCTGGGAAAAATACATTCAGAACCTGGCAACAGTCAGAGGGAGCAAGGCCCTGGGGTGTGTGTTGTTGGGGGGAAGTGGTGGTGGCCAAAATACAGACCAGGAGAGACCAACCCTTCCCCATTCCCCCACTCAGAGGAGGCAGCTTGAGTGGACAAGGCATTGAACACAGACATGGGCACCCGCTTCAGTGCGTGGCACGTAGTCACCACCCGCTTCTGTCACTGCTCTATCCCTGGCCCACAGCGCAGCCCAGTCTCTGCTACTTGAGGCTGGAGTGGGGGGATGAGACAGAGCAGTGCTGACGACAGGGCTGGGAAAGCACTGTGGGAGCAGGCTGACTCCACCAGAGAAAAGGTGGGAGGGGACAGAACACAGACATGCATCTAAGAAAGGGCACCTATGTTCCTTGTCTCTACGGAGGG